TAAAATCATTTTCATTAAAACTAATGTAACTTTTATTTAGAAAACAATTAATATACAAACTATATATACATATAAACATAAGTTTATATCTAATTATATAAAACTCGACAAAAAATATATAATATTTTTCACTAAACATGTCATAACTATGACTCTAACTCTTAAGCCACGGGTGGGACAGTATCTGAGAGCTCCTAATCCTTTCGGACGGATCCGGATTCAACAACTGCTTCAATAGAATGTACAGACTCTCATCATTCTGTAGGCTTTCCGGTAGATCCCAGTCCTTATCGATAATCTTTTGCCTCAACTTCTCCTTTCCCTCTTTGGACCGGTATTTCTCTCCCGAACACTAAAGTAGTCATAGTATATAAAATCACACCTAAACTGAAACAGTCGGCCGCAAAGGGGTCATAGGGCTGGACAGGTATGAGAACCTCGGGGACTGGTATTCAATTGTACCGGAACTGGATATACACTTTTTGCGGGTGCCGTCCGACTCGAGGGGTAGCTCCAGGGCGTACCCAAAGTCCGTCACTTTCATGGAGTTGTTTCTCATGAGTACGTTATCCCCTTTGAGGTCCCGGTGCGCGATACCGATGCCGTGTAAGTACTCCACCGCTGAGACTATCTGTCGGAACCACTGTTTTACGAGTTGGACGTCCAGGTGCTCGCCTTTAGCCAATAGGGTAATGACATCGCCGTCCGCCAAATCGGTGACTATAAACACATACCGGCCCTCGAGCTCCAGTAACTTATGGGTATTAATGATGTATTCGTGGCGGACGGCGTTCACGATTGCCATCTCCCGAGGGATGTACTTCTTCTTGTGCTTCACCTCCAGTTTTTCCAGATCTATGAACTTGACGGCCACCACAACCTCCCGGCGCTCCTGAGTCTCGCTGTCGGTGTCTGTCATACGGGCGCTGAAAACAACGGCTGTCGTTCCCCTGTCCAAGTAGTTCATCACTTCCAGGCCCTTCTCTGTCAGAAATGCTTTTACGTTATCCGTTAACTCAAGAGTTGGCTCCGACTCAGACATATCTGTCCACTATTATCACCGCAAAGGCTATAAGTACTGACTATTAGTCTAAATATTTAAATTCTAACGTATTTTTCATGGATTATAACAATTAGAATAACGCGCGAGAAATCTATTCCAGGTATTCATTAAATTAATTTAGACTAATTTATAAATCAATTATAATTTATACAAAATTCAAACTTTTTCTCTATATTTGAGTTACGAAAACTAATAACTTGTTTGATAATAGACTATTAAATAGAGACAAAACTTTGAATAAAACCTTTTACTGTACTATCAATTAGTTTCTGAAAACTTTTGTATAAAGTCTTCAGTCAATAGGTCTTCAGCGGTGATCACCTCNACGAAAAGATTTTTAATTTTATTATATTTATAAATCATGTTAACAAAATTGTATTTGTTTACAAAAAAGTATGGTATATATAAATATGCATATATGAATTAAATAATAGAAATGTATTTATTTAATTGGGTTATAATAAAAGGTTTTTCATAAAAATGATATAAGGTTTTGATTTTTGTTGAAATATTTAATGAATTTATGATCTTTTATTTTGTTAATTTACAATATATTTTAAATAAAATTAATACAATAATTTTATTATTTGTAAACCTTATGAAATTGCTATTAAAATTTAAAAATTAGTTTTATATGTTAATATGTTACATAAAATATTTACGTAGTTTAATTACCATTATACGTAATCTTAAGTTAAGATTAAGTTATTTAATAAGCTAAGATTCTTAAGTTAAGAATCTTAACTATAAAATAAGCAAAAATTAGTGATTTATGAGACCATTGGTAGGCCTCTATTTGTCGGTTAATCAAATTGTTTATCACAAAACTTTAAGCAAAATTCCAGGAATTGATTGTTAATTACATTAAGTACAGAACCTTTCCATGTTCAATTTTAAGGATAATTTTATTGGAAAATTTTTAATATAAAAAATACTATTGTTCATGAAATTAGCAATCATTTTCTTGATTTTAACAAATATGCTTTAAATAACTTTATTATACAACCATTAGAGGGCTATCGGGGTACCATAAATCGCTAATTTTTGTCTATTTCATCAAGTGCAGTAGTTTTCCAAATTGAAAATTAACATTACATCAAACATATTTAGTTTTATATAAATATAATGTCTACACATTTTTAATAATTAAACACATATTATGATTAATAAATATATTTAGTCAATATGAATTAGTTAGTTAATATTGTTGTTATAATTGTTACTAAAAATAATTAGCAAATTCTATATTAAAAACTATATATTTTAACCCTGGGTATTTTGATGGGTATATATAAAAACTAAATTGATGCAAAAATCTGGCTGATGTTACAAATGCACCTATAAAATCAGTTTACTTTTGTAGCAAGTTAGTTTATTCTTATTTAAATTTGTTATAGATAAATAATTTACAGTTAAAAATTAAAAAAAATTACGTTTAGACAATTGTTTTATATAATATTACAAAAATAGAATATTAAAATTATTATGCAGTAAATTAAAAAACATTATCTTGATACTTTAAATATAATTGTTAGAAATATTGAATTCAATACAAGTTTACAATATATTTGTTTAAAACTACTTAAATATAAAAAGGTATACAATTCAATGATATCATAAATATCACAACTTTTTAGATACAAATAAACATGTAATTCTTGACATTTATAACATTGAACGGAAAGTCTTTACAAACTTTGAACCCTATGATAACTTCTTATCTATTAGATTATAATTTTAAGTAAATGTTGAGGTGATGAGACGTAAGCTGACTCTCGATGGCGACGGTATGGGCGACGACCGGAAGATTAATCTCGTCTTAAAGGCGTTCATCACGTGGTGTCACAATCGCGACGACTCGCCAGCGATGAGGTACTGATCCCATGCACTCTCCAGACATCCGGTGATTATCACCCATTGGGTGGGCCGTGGAGTTAAACTACTCATGAGTTGTTAGGCTATCAGTAGTTATGAATTGTTTGTCTGTTTATGAAGTGTTTGTAAACTTCTTGTCATTAGTGTTAAGGTGTCTGTAAAATAGGGATCACTTTAACAGTGCCAGCGGTTGTGGTAATTATCTTATTTAGCATTCATTTGTGTGAATAGAATACTAATCATTGGATTAATTGATGGACAGAGTCTTGAGTACTGGAAGACATAAACTGTTTATTCATTTGTTTGCAAATACGTGTCTTTAGTGGTCATGGTTAATAGTATTCGGGAAGTGGTGTCTGTGGCTAATGCTATAGTCGATGATATCAATGATAATGAAATGGACTTTGATTGGGGATTCGGGGTTTAGTTGTAGTGATAATTGGCGTCAAAGTAACGAATGATTTGTAATTAGATCTCATTTTTTATGTGCCATTTGTTTGTCATATGATTTGTAGTGAGAGTTAATGAACCAAAAGTGTAGTTATTTTTTACGTTTATGTGCCAAACGATGGCTTATTTTTGATACAATTTTTCCGATAAGTTGTCTATAAATCTAGTTATTTGTTAAGTATTTGTCACACAATTTAAAGTGCATTTATATTTTCTATAACTTGTAAGAAATTATTTTTTGTTAACGATTGGTGTAAATAAAAGTTTTAATCAATTTATTGTTTGTTATGTTGATGGGCACCGGTAGCCTAAATCTGTGGACAAGTATTACAGTATAAATCTATATCAATTTATAAGTTTCAATAAAAATATAAACTATTTTAAGAAATCAAAAAAGTTGTCATTGGGATTGCCTTTACTAATAGTAGACAAATCATCATGGTCAGAGGGCTCTTTAGTCAATGGCTCGCCATTTAACAGTCTAATCATATTTGCCTTTTCCTGGACATAGAGTTTCATATCTTTGCGATCCTTTTGAAAGTTTTCAATGAATTTAATGAAATTCACTTTATTTTGGTCCATATATTTGTCCACCGATTCACTCTTATTGAGGTTCACTACAAACACGTGAAACACGAGAAACGCGTCGAAAGACACGTACAGACAGTCGCTGTCCATCAGTGTCTTAATTATCTTCAAGTTGTCCACAGAATCCACGTATCGTTTCATAACTATCTGATGACTCCTATCGTACAACAGGTCCGACAATAGTCTAATGGCTTTCCGACGGATATAATAGTCATCTTTGGTTAACAATTGATTGAATTTCGGCACAAATATCTCGTAATCCGTTTGCAGGGCTTTCTTCGCCACAGTCTTGTGTCGAGCAAACAGTTCCCGAAGAGTGGCGAAGACATCGGAAGAGATGGCAAACGAATCGCTTTTTATCAAAAAGTCCAGAAAATTGAGATAAAGTTTGTGTCCATTTGTGGGCTTTTGTGTCAATTGTGTGAACACCTCTTTCTCCAGATCTTCAAACCGTAAAAACTCCTGAAGAATGAGTCCGCAGACTGTGGCCAACTGTGGGTTACCATAAAATGTCATTAATATGTGAATGATCTGCGGTTTGGAGACAATGTATTGTACGGCCGGTAATTGAGTGCCAATTTGCTGTCCGATTACGTACTGATAGATGAGTGCGATATCCCTCTGACCACGAAATGGTAGTACCGGAAGACTTTGGATCAGTTTCATGAGGAGATCCGTTTTGATCAACTCGTACACCAATTGGGAGCGGATTTTCTCGGACTCCGGCTCTGAACTGATTGATCCGTAGATGACTTCCTTGAGTTGTGAACCGGAAGACTTTGGATCAGTTTCATGAGGAGATCCGTTTTGATCAACTCGTACACCAATTGGGAGCGGATTTTCTCGGACTCCGGCTCTGAACTGATTGACCCGTAGATGACTTCCTTGAGTTGTGTCAACAGTTTGCAGATATTGTCGTTTCGGTTAATATCTGCGAAATATGACAACAGTTGCGGCAGAAGTGTCTTATCGTTGGTCTCTAAGCCGGATAACTGTCGGCAGAGAACTGAAACCAATTCATTGAGACTCTTGGGGTTGAGTTCCGATGAGAGGAATAGTCGCGAAAAAGACATGACTTAGAGGTGATCACCGCTGAAGACCTATTCACTGAAGACTATACAAAATTTTTCAGAAACTAATTGATAGTACAGTAAAAGGTTTTATTCAAAGTTTTGTCTCTATTTAATAGCCTATTATCAAACAAGTTATTAGTTTTCGTAACTCAAATATAGGGAAAAAGTTTGAAGTTTGTATATATTATAATTGATTTATAAATTAGTCTAAATTAATTTAATGAATACCTGGAATAGATTTCTCGTGCGTTATACTAATTGTTATAATCCATGAAAAATACGTTAGAATTTAAATATTGAGACAAATAGTCAGTACTTATAGCCTTTGCGGTGATAGTAGTGGACAGACATGTCTGAGTCGGAGCCAACTCTTGAGTTGACGGATAATGTAAAAGCATTTCTGACAGAGAAGGGCCTGGAACTGATGGACTACTTGGACAGGGGAACGACAGCCATTGTTTTCAGCGCCCGTATGACAGACTCCGACAGCGAGACTCAGGAGCGCCGGGAGGTTGTGGTGGCCGTCAAGTTCATAGATCTGGAGAAACTGGAGGTGAAGCACAAGAAGAAGTACATCCCGCGGGAGATGGCAATCGTGAACACTGTTCG